TTTGATCAGATTAAAAATGCATTGTTCCCATCTTTGTTTACTGTAGTTTATAACAAACAGCCAAAAAGCAATATATTTTTTTCAATGAACACATCACATTTTTTGTTTAAAAAATACAAGGTAATGCAAATATTTTTGAAAACTGTACTGTACGTGAAGATGCAATTACTATTACTTTTTTTAAATAAAGCACAAGTTAATAGTGGCAGGGAAAGATTTTATAGCTACGTAGCTCTATTTGTCTTTATTGATCTTGCAAAATTCTAAGTTTAATTAAAAACACTAGGCTCTCTCCTACTCAGACAGAAGCACAAAGATGGTCCCTACCACCCCAAAGAGCTGCATGTGGAACACAGATTGTTCTAGCAGTGTCTACAGACTCGGCAAACAGTTGTGCACACCAGGGACCGGTTTCTCAGACTTGCAGCAAGTAAGGTGTAGCCTTGCTATATGGAGAGTAACAATTTTTTTTAACTAAAGGAAAATATCCATGATGCAAAGAAAATAGATAACTACAGATGAATGCAGACTTAAAAACAAAAAACATTTATGTTCTAGAAGCGTTTGAGAGAAGTGTTTAATTCAGGTAACTGAATACTAGGGCTGTGAGAAGCTTCGGTCCCCAATTTGATTCGGCAGAGATTCAGCCCAATTTGGTGGCCAAATCCAAATCGAGTCAAGAGAGACCCTTTAATCTCTCCGAATCGAATCAGAACCATCCAAATCAATTCGGAGAGATTTCGGCAACTTGGACATAGACACAGCTTTAAGTGCTTTTTCTGCATACCTTAAGGTACCAGGTGGCTTGTGAACGCTGAGATGCTAGGGCGGATGGAGCATCCCACAGGAGCACTGGGGGGTGGGGGTCATCCCCAGTGTGCTCTGCAGCAGACCACTTCCAGGTACGCTAGGGAGTGCATGGGGGGACCCCCCGTCTTAGCAACTGGTGCCTCCTGGGTCTGGGGGAGCACCTGGAGTCCCCCCACAGACAAATTGCTGAGCTGGGGGTGCGGGGGATGTCAGTCCACTTCTGGGTTCACCACCAAGCACACAGGAGGCCTCCCTGCGCTCCTTTGGGACACTCCATCCACCCCAGCATTGCAGCGTTCATGAGCCATGCCTGGTACCTCGAGGTAAGTAGAAAAAAACATTTAAAGATGCATCTGTGTCCAAATCACTGATTCTCCAATAGGCATCAAATCTTCAGATTCAGATTTGGCCGAACTGAATTGGGGACAGCGATCCAAATCAATGAAGTGAATCGCTGTCCCTGATTTGGGCCAAATCTAAATCGAATATGGCCCATTTCACACACCCCTACTGGTTACCAGGGATCCGGGTTTTTCATTCACCATGCAGAAACACAATACGACCCAGATTTTCTTATTTTGGGGAGAAAAACTTGGATTTTCTCTTTTTAAGGAGAAAAACACAGGAAAGGTGGGCTTCCCCTTGCAGGCTGGCAGAGTTCCAGCTTGCAAGGGGCTGTTTCAGGCTGGGGGGCAGGAGGACAGCGGTCAGACAGGCAGCACCATGTGCATGTTCCCGCTCATACATGCACATGGCCTCCAGACAACCTGGAGAGCAGCTCCCTGCAGATAAGTCTCGCAGGGTGTGGGGAGATTGAAGGCCCTATAGCGAGGGAGGGAGTTGGGCAGGGCTGGGGTGCAAGACCAAAACGTGCAGCTGCAGGCTCCCCGACAGGGAGCAGGATGGAGCTGTGGGTGGCTTGCCCAGGGGGCAGCAGTGGGAGAAGGGAGACTGGTTCCCCACTGCCGCGTGCACTCCCAGGGGGCGCATAGAGGACACACCCCCCAAATTTGTGTAGGCATAGAGGCGGGCTGCTCACTGCAGGCTTGGGCTCCCCACGCTGCTGCCCTGTTCCCATAGTGCCATTTCATTTTAATCACAGAAAAACGCAGTATGTGGGGTTTTTAATCAAAGAATGTGTTTTTGTTTTTGTTTTAAAATCAGCAAATATGCCATTTTTAAACAGAGGAAAACCAGGATCCCCGATTACATGATACAAGTATTGAAGTCTGCTGGCAGCACAGAACAGGGAAGATTGTACTGTATAATCAGAGATTCACACATGCAGCCAAAACTATCCAACTCTTAGGACAACGGATGCTCAGCATTATCCTCAAGCAAACCTGCCTCCACTTCAGATATTGAATTGACAAATTCCAGAAGGCTACATCCACTTCAGCACAGCATATGGCCTTACAGTGCGACTGGAAAACAAAAGGAGACCCTCAAGACTGAGAAGTCCAGAAAAGAAAAGAACATTGTGTTTACCTGAATCCAAGACTACTTTGAATTTAAAAGACGCCCCCCCAATTATTAGAGTCTGTAAATGGAAAATTATAAGTTTCAGAAGGTCATCTGAAATTAGTCCCCCAATCTGCTGTGGCTTGGAAAGCAGTGGTGGGGGGCAAGGGGCCACATACCTGCCCCTTGCTCCTCTACTCATCGTCTCCCCCCCATGCCTGTTCCCCTACCATGTAACCCCCCTGCCATAATGCATTTTTCTGCCCACTGCCCTTCCCACACCTGCTCACTTGCCCCTGTACCTACCCCCCACTCTGCCTCCTTCATCCCTGCAGCCTGTCTCCACCACTGCTCCCCCCTAAAGCCTGCCCCTCTGGCTCCCTGCCCTCTTTACCTTCTGCTGAAACTCTGCTTTCCTCTGGGGCAGCCAGCAGCAGCGGCCCCAGCTCAGGAGAAGCGACAGCAACTCCCAGTTACACCAGGTAGGGGCTGGAAAAACCAGAGCCAAAGCAGAAGGTAAGTGGGGGGCCCAGTTGGGTGGCAGGGGAGCAGAAAGCGGGAGGGCAGGCGACAGGTTCCATGCCCCTCCTCCCACACACACACATACACACACCCCTCTCACTGTCTCCCCTGTACTCCCCGCACCATGCCCCACCTCCTCCACGAAACAAGACTTTACAGCCCAAGGCAGGTGGCACTGTAGCTCCAGTTTCCACCCTAAGCCCAGGGCCAAAACCAGAGCTGAGCAGCCACCTGCTTTGGGCTATACATAAATCCAAAACAAGGGTTTTTTTCCTCCTATGCTGACTGGGAGAGGGACGGGACTCATATTGTATTCGTGTAAGTATGATAGTTTATGCATAGTCAGGGTATTTTTTCCTCCAGCTTCTTACTTGCCTGGCGTTTAAGCTGTAAGGAAGTAGTCTTCATGGCCTAATGACTACTATACTTTAAAAAGAGCTAAACTGAAATTCAGGTCTGTACAATGTTCATTCTTTCATCCTATTATACACTTCACTGACAGAAAAAGGAAAAAAAGAATCTTATTAGCAGAACCTACGGAGTCTCACGTGCCGGCAGCTTTGGACCAGATTAGAGGGAGGAGCTCACACCACGCCATGACCTTTCTCCACAGATAGTAGATAGTCCTCGTGGTGTCAGTTGGGCTATCTAAGGTGCAGGACACTATCCAGTATGAAGAAAAGTAGCACAATAATCTGGCTCCACGTCAATTATGCTACAATTATTTAAGTATGCCTAACTATCTCCTCCTTGCTATTCACAGGCAGCCACAATTCTGACAGCCAAGATTTCACCTTCTCGAGTTGTATGCAAAAGCCTCTACTTGAGGGAAAAATTATTTTGAAATCCTCCAAAGGAAATGAGAATGACAGATAAGATATCAATGGAAGCCCATCTACATCTTAATCACATGCCATCTTTTGACAATCTAATGTGACAAAATCAATCAGCTCTCATCTCACAAATGCATCAGGCAGCAGTGATGATTAGCCAAGTGACAACCTGTGCCTATGGATATAAGCAACAGCAAATGAAAAATGGAAGCGTATCCAATTTCTAAAATAAAAGACTCTTTTCGTTGATTAAAAAATTGGATCTTGCAAACTACATTAAAATGTATACCATATCAGCATTGCCTTTTTAAGCTTGTGCACCTTTTCCCTGAGGTCTGTTTATCTCTCTTCGAAAGCTATGATTTCTTCCCCCCCGCCCCATTGCCTCTTACCATCACACATTTTGTTAGCATAAACAGGTTGACATAATCTTATTTTACCACTGCCTGAAAACAAAAGCATATAGGAACATTTATTCTTGAACATAAATGCAGACAAAGCATTTCAAGGACATTACAACCTGATAAAGTAAAAAGCCATGGGAGGTTACTGGATCATAAAAAGGTATAGTGGACATGTCAACCTTGAAAAAGCCCTTTTAAGCAATGATAGTGTTGTCAGGTGCCATTACCATTCATCAGACAGCCATCTGACCTCATAAGGCAGATTTATAAGAATCCAGCAAGAGTACAATGTAAAATCAGCAATTGGCAGAATTACAGGCCTGCCAACTCCATGGTAAATAGTACCACAAGGGGTTGAGGCCACATTCAAAACTAAAAATTAAACCTAAGCCATCACATTTTGAAAGAACTTAAACCCACGCATCAACAAAACTCGAGTTCTCAAGTACCGTTCTGTAGAGTTTGTGCTCGCGATTCCTTTCCCAAATTGGCATGAAATCCTCCTCCTATCAACGGTGTTTTACCCGGACCTATAAAGAGACAAAAAAAAAGCACAGAGCTGTCAAATATGGTAAAATCTTACGAAAGCATTAAAAAACCCAATCAAAAAACCCACACCTTACACTGTAGCCTGCTTTTATTCAATACTTTTATGATTTAAAACAGGACAAATTAGTCTGGGTTAGGAGGTAGATGATGGCTGCCTGGCACAAAGAACAGACCCAAGCAGTTTATACATTCCTTGGACAGCCAGCAGGGAGACTGACTTTCCCAGGTCACGGTTTCACACCTGGTCTGCTACAAATGTAGTGAAAAAATGTGCTGTTCCTTCCTGTAGGCAGGATATTACATCCCAATCCAACCCTAACTTGTAAAATCCTTTTCAAAGGAAGCCATGCAACAAACTGCTTGGCTTTTATTTTTTGTCAGGAGAATGTTCATATGGAAATACAATAACTAAAACATGGTCGTGGTGCTCCCAAGTGACTGCACTGCAGGTAACATATACAAACCTGCCCATTAAAACAGCAGCAGTTTAAAGTCAGGCAGCTGTCCCGCAGCTGGGTTAGGATGTCCGGAACTACTGCAGCCCTGCTAGGCAAGTTTAAAGATGAAAATAACTCAGGAGAAAGTTTCATACTTCCTGCCACTCCTGCCTTGCTAAATTAACATAAAAGCAGTGGTCACCAACCAGTGGATCTCGGAGCCTCTTGGAGTCGATTCAAGCCTAGGGTGAGGGGCTGAGTGCCCACATGCATGCACACACGCATGCCCCAGCCCAGCAGGTCAGTCCATGAGGGAGGGAAGGCGCAGGAGCAAATCGAGGCACCCCGCAGTGAGTGAACAGTGCCGCAGAGGCAAGAGCAGGGGTCAGTGAGTGGGTCCCTGGCCAGGTGGGACTTACCTGCTGGGGAGATGCGCCTTCCAAAAATGTTTTCTTCCTCTGCCTTGATCTACCCCCCTCCCTCCCCACAAACTTGCCTACTGGGCAGGGGAGGGAGGGGAGGAGGGGGTAGCAGCAGCACACAGTAGATCTTGGGTTGCTTTTAAATGCCAAAGGTGAGCTCCTACTTAAAAAGGTTGGAGACCACTGGCATAAAGTAAGGGCAGGTTCTCCCACCTGGTTCCTAATCAGCAGCATCAACACTGATGCCACCCTGGCCCTCCTGCAGACAACAGAAATAAGGGAAGTCAGGACTGCAGAAGTGAATGCTGAACTGAACTAACAATCATGAAGAACCTTCCCCAAAAGTGGATTATAGATATGAGAACATGCCAATTTGAGAAGCAAAATGCTAAATCCTGCAGCGCTGAAATAATTAAGTACTGTACTGTTCTGATTGTAAGTGAACCCTGTATTAGGCAGCATTACATTTGCAGGTTCTGGTTTTGGAAAAAATGGCTTTTTCCATGAATACCAGTCCATGACAGCAGATGCCCTCCGGAGAATTAAACAACAAGGAAAGGACCCAAAGACACTAAGAATATTGCAAGTACAAAAGACCAAACTTGTTCAGGGCCAAATTACAGGCCAACCACAGGTATAAGTCAAGTGCAATTGTTAAGTTTCGTTTGGAGAGGAAAAGAAGAGAGACAGACAATTACTATATTCAATACCGTACAGTAGTTAATTATCTGCAGGACATTCTGAACCCCAGCGGTTCTCTTTCTGGTAAGAAAAAGGTGACATTTGTCCCCTGTCATGCTCCCCTTCCTCCCAAGTCCACAAAAAAAAAATCCTTCCATCTGAATAGACCTGTACAAGATACTTTCTGGAACCAAATGCCATTCCTGAGTTGGGCTGTGGCACTTATATAAGTACATAAAGGAGGGAAGTGTCATTTCAAAGGAGTTCAAGACATGAAGAGTACTGTTTTTCTCCAATTAATAAAGGGAGTGAAGAACTAAGCTGGCAACCCAAACTGTTCCAGCCATCTGGCAAGGTTGCACTGTACTAGGCCTTCTGGACTACCCCCTCCTTCCAAGTATTTAATTTTAAATCATTTGGAGAGAGGTACAAAACAGCCAAAACAAAAGAACGATTTTGCACATTCTTGTGAAATCTTTGCGGCGATCAACCTCCCACGGTTGATTTTGCAGAACAGGGTATGGAGCCCTTTAAATCCGGCTGGGTTGTCAATGCTCTCCCCTCACTGTAGGGGTATGCCAACTTCAGCCGCCTTTCATTCACAAGTCTCTTCAGCCAAAGAAATAAAATAAAAAACCCAGAGGTTCTAGATGTGGAGGCTCCACAGCTTAACTATGACAGATCAGGATCCTGGTAAGAAAACCAGAACAATCACCGTGGACTTTGGACACCCAGCGTGTTGATAGCGTCGCAGGGGTTTAACCAGAGGTTCCCAAACTTGTTCTTACCGCATACCCCCTTCCAGAGTTATCAGCAGCCTGCGTACTCCTACCAACATATTTTAACCCCTTAAATATCAATTATTATTATTATAATTAAAATTAAATCTGCCAGTACACAATTTCTCCTGCATGTCTTGCACACATGTACCACAGTTCGGGAACAGACGTGGAAGACAAAAATCTATTTCTTTTTCATTCTCACATACCTAAAATGGTCAGATCCCTACACTGACCAAGACAAACTAATTAGGTACACAGCACAGAGCTTTCCAACACTGTCTGCATAAGATTGTTTTAGTATTTCAGAGGACCAATTGCTAACCCGCGTTTCAAGATTGGCTCATCAGGTCAACGGAGGTGACTAGGAAGAACACAGAAGAATGGTAAAAGAAGGGAGAAAGAAGATCTCGGACACCAGTAATACAAATGGTGACACACCTGTTAAATCAATCAGGTGAGTAGTTTAGATCAACAGTTTAAGAACATATGCAAGTGTCTGAGATTGCATAAGAGCCAGGAAGACTTGAAATTTGATTTAAATTCATCTGACCAAATGAGATTCAATGAAAAATGCTGATGTTGACAGACAAAATGTTTACGCCAATGTGATCTGCATTACACCAGAGTAAAAACAAACAAACAAACAAAAAACAAACAAACAGGGAGATTACAGAAAAGGTCTAAACTGAGGTAATTTAGTTAGGGACCCACTGCAGAGGTATGCCGGGTCCTCGTCATTGGCGATTCCATCCTAAGAGGAACGGAGGGGCCCATCTGTCACTCTGACCCCATGGCACATGAGGTTTGTTGCCTGCCTGGAGCTCAGATCAAGACATCATGGAGATGATCCCGGACCTCATCCAACCCTCTGATCATCACCCCATGGTCCTCATCCACGTAGGAACAAATGACGCAGCCAGGGGCAACCTGGACCGCATCGTGAGAGACTACAAGGCTCTAGGGGCAAAGCTCAAGGATACGGGGCACAGGTGGTTTTTACTTCTATCCTTCCAGTGAGCAGACATGGATGGCACCACGAGATGTGTCAGTGAGGTCAACCAGCAGCTTTGGAGCTGGTGTTACCACGCGGGCCTTGTGTTCTTGGACCATGACCTGCATTTCGGCACAGACGACATGCTTGGGCGAGATGGGCTTCACCTCTCCCCAAATAGTAAGCGTGTTTTTTCTTCCAGGTTGGCTGATCTCCTACGGCAAGCTTTAAACTAGGTTCACTGGGGGATGGAGACCAAGAGGAACACGAGGACACTTCGCTGTCAAGCCAGGTGATGCGCACAGGTAGTACCCAGGTAAGTGACAGGGGCCAGGGCAGACTTAGGAACAAGGGGGCACCCTGGGCACCTACAGGAGGCCTCAAATGCCTCAACACAAATGTTCAAAGCATGGGGATAAGCAGGAGGAACTTGGCCCCTGCTAGCTAATCAAAAACCCAGACCTAGTGGGGCTCATGGAAACCTGGTGGGATTTACCCATGACTGGGCAGTGGCTGAACAGGC